GCCTTGTGATTACAGTAGTATGCAGAAGAGGCGATGAAGTAGCCGTATACACATCTCCTAAATACATCTATCCATATTTAATCGACATCTATCTTCTGTTCGGACATGCAAACAATATTTATCGCTGCATCCACGAAGGAAAAATGTGCAATTTCACCGGACACAAGAAGTGCACTTCACTTATGAGTCCACAACGGCGAATAAGCGCCACAACAACCAAATTGCGTGGCAAAGTTTGTCAAGAAGCTCCAATTTTGGCTACTTGTTGGAAAAGCGGAAAAGTGGTCGGAAGGTCAATGACACGTATGGCCATGATCACTTCTTAGATCCTTAAAAGCCATTCATTTAGGCCAAAGAATACACCACTCAAGTTTAAATGGCGCTATTTCATGTTGCTTGAACATCAAGCAGAAGTTAGTCTAATCCATCTCAATCGACCACAAAGGTATGGTCTCACATCTGCTTGTATGGTTGCACTGGAAGCCATCTTCTCTGATCCAAGCACGATGTCAATGGACGAATCGAAAAACTGACTGATGACGTTTCAAGTGCGGTTCTCAGCAGACCCCACTGCACTAATTTGCCTTGAGTTGTAGGAACTCGGGGAATACACGCAGCTGTTTACGAACGTAGTGTAAAGCACGAAAATGCGTTCATCTATTGGCACTGTGCTGCCTTATTGGACTTTCCACTACTCCTCACCATGCTTGAACCCACTCAAAGTATCGGTTCACGAGACCCATTGTAATTGCACCACGTCCGCTTACCACATTCTAGCCTGGCTCCCAATTTCTAATAGAAAGAAATTGTGAATTCCACCGTGGGCAAACATCATTGCCCTGTGTGTCATAAAAGTAGAGACCCAACCGTTCACCTCATGCAGGACAAATAGCAATCATGGTTGAGTTTGACCCACTCGAGACTACTGACTGTGCAACAGCAACGCCACACATGACAAAATGTCTTCAACTACTAATTTTAAAAATCGCTAGCATACAACTTTCCAAATTTAGCTAGCGCTGCCACGAGGGACTGCATTCCAGCCCTCCACAATTCCGCCACGCACGCCCCGCCACATGGGCTCTTACTTAAGAACCAACTTAGAGGCAGTCAAGCTTTAAAACGCAGTGGCAGGAATGGCGATCCAGTCTAGCCAATGTGGAACAAACTTTACAATCGAAATTGACGACGCACTTAAAGGACGGATTCAGGAAGACAGTCGATTGCCAAAAGGCACCATCGCACATTATTCCGACTGCACCTCTACAATCATCATACTTTTGCCTCCAGATTAGACCAGTAGCTTGTCGATTCACTCGCCGATGTTAAGAACATGGCCCAAGAATTCTTTACGTAGAACCTTTCAAACTCGAGTTGAGATACTTTGGTATGAAAGGCTAAAGATGCATTTCCTAAGATTATGGAAAATAACCCCTTGTATAGAATCAAAGCTAATGCGAAACTGTCCTGAAATGTTGCAGGAGGCAACAGGTTATGAAAATCCGTAGCATAGCAACAAAAGGACAACTTAGTAGCTGTGGGGCCAGATTTACATGTTGCAGGGTAGGACTCAAAACGTCCCACTGGATGAACTTAAGACCATTTGCCTGCGTAAGTTTGACAAGCCACTCGTGGTAAAGAGGTCAAATAAAAGACTGATTTAGCGAACAGGACATCATTTCTAGTAAATCCATAACAATGGAAACCAAAGGCAACACTTTAAATAGTAGCCCAATACGCACAATTTTATACACTCATGGCACAGGCTTGTCCGAAAGGAAAAGCCCAGTCATAGCACTGCTTCAATAATCACATTAATTAAGGTTGATTGTTCAAACCGGTTCCATTTCGCCTAAAACTCGAGAACACAATTATTCTTCACAAATTTTATTGTTTTATTCATAAACTTCGTTTCTCCATAGCACAGTATGGTACATCCCCCGTTATCGTGAGTAGTTAAGAAATGTATGGCACATATGAGACGTGACAAACGATTAGTTGTAATGAGGAGCATGGAAGCCGTTACTCACCAATACAACCCCAATTAGGACTAAAATCAGGAAAGGAAAGAAGCACTTACGTAGGTCGGTCGGTAATCCCAATACCCAGTTTAATTAAATCAAAAACAAAATGAGAACTGGATCAGCAATTCCTGCATCAAAAGCATTCGCTGCGTCCGTGTGTTCTACGACAAGAATAACCAACTCCCAACGCTGAATGCTGCTGAGAGAGGACACGACTTTGATAAGGAGTCCCACACACTCCAGAAGGGGCATGTCAGCATTAGCGGGGTTCTGATTCCGAAAGGAAGGTAGACAAATTCTCGCTGAAGGTGTATTTGTGTTAGTGCAGTTCAGAACCACCCAGCTAAGCGAATGCAAGTTACTTATGTTTCGTAAGTTCACCCACGTTCTGGAAATATGAACATATTGACAGGCATCCTAATCCTGAACAAAAAAACGAACAAAATTAGACTTCAAACTGTATGAAATTACCATAAAACATCAAAAATACATACACAAAAGGGACTGTGCCATGGCTCAATTTAGCCGCGTAAGGAAAGAAGGTGGTCTTAAGATAACTTGGTCATGCATGCTTAGTGACAATATCGGCGATCTAGAATTGAGAAAATCCATTGCCACACGAGGAGATGAGTCAGTGGACCAACTAATCGTACGCACAAGCGATAACCTTGAAAGTCAATATTGGTATGGTTCATGAAGATGAGAGTTTAAAAAGAGAAGTAGCAGCAAAGCGCCTAAATAAGTCACATTTTTTTACGAAAGCATACTTAAAATGCTGATTAGGGTTAATCATCCATTTATTTTTTTGCATCTACCTTTGTATTTTAGCAGTATAAGCACGATGGCTAATTATTCACCGTTTATTTTAATATCGTAAAGATGTTATTAAGCAACACAAGAATTATTGTTCCACTGAAGGAATTCATTGCATTTACACAACATCGAACTGGCCTTTAAGTTAAGCAACTGAACTTGTCATCTTAAGGGCTATTAGCCGCCTTACTGTTTTGTCCCTTTAATGCGGGTACTTCGGCGGGTTTGTCGTGGGGATTTTGGTAGTGGGGGTTATGCTCGTTACGAGTGAAATCCTATTGAGCGCTGAATCCTACTTGGTGCTAATTACACTCCGGACCTGAAATTAGGCAAGAATGCTTTTGTTCCTAGCGGAGCGTTATCCGGCAAACATGGGGGTGTTGTCCATCAACGCTAATTGAGACTGTCGCCTTGCCATTGCCTCTTGCATTGCTCAGGTAAGAATGAATTGTGGTTCATGAGTTGCTGTCGGATACACCGTTTTAAGTAAAGAGTTTCAGATGTCCGTGTAGCCATACCTTTGCGTAGGGGTCTACCTCAAGCAGCAGGTGCCGTCGAAGCTGAATCTACGATAAAGTGGTTGCTGAGTTCCTACTTTACATGTTTCACTATGGAAATGCTAACACAAAACCGAGGACTGAACTTCTAGTTAGTGGTGTAGAAATCCGTGAATAGTTAGAGTGCTACGTGTTTCCTCAGCAGGTGGTAGTCCACCACCGTCGCAGATACTATGACAACCTGGATAATGCAGCTTTGACTATGCAATAATTGTGCAAAGACTTGAGGATAGAAGGCAAAAGCAAGTTGTTGCCTACGATGTGTACATTGAACCGATTGCAGCACAAAGGACGTGACAGCAGCTCATGAATTCTAATCCATTCTCGACTAGGTAACGTGTGAAGTGATGGCAAGGGCGCGATTTGTAGTTGGTGTTGTTCGGTAATGCCTTCATGCTTATGAGATAATGCTCCATGAGAGAGACACACTTTCTTGTCGAATTTATGGTTTAGAAAGCCATAAGCGAATATCGGTGAACTTGGTGCAAGCCTACGAGACTATCAATGGGATATGCTTCCGCAAACAGCGACGAAGAGAATCCAATGAGATGTGACGGCAAGAAAGGTGACGAAGCTGCTCTTGCTGTTACCACTACTAACACCAATGACACCATTGACCACTACTGTCCCCTCACGGGTTTAAACCCAATTCCGAGAGTTGGCGCCACCTGCACCCTATTCTGCTGTTGCAAAGTGCACCGTGGTCGTGCTACCAGTGCAGCTGCAGTGGTTTGGAACGCCAACGCCGCGCTGAATCCCCTTCAACAACAGTAACACCTCAACGATGGCGGCGATCGGCAACTGCTATAACCTCAACAGTAAAAAGAGAAAGTGAGTTGCCAGGCCTTCCATATCCCTCCACCTCCTGCTGCGGCAATTTGATGTCACTATGACATTCATTGCGGCAGCAGTTTGTCTTGTTTATTTCTTCTATCACATCTGACTTATTTATGAAGCCTATAAAGCATACGATTTTGAAGGTCGCTTTATGATAGATGTGCAGGGGGTCTCTGGAATTTGTAGTGTATGTTTTAATGCCACTATTATGATTGTTGTATTTGCAGATTTAGAAGGTGTCTGTGTTCTTAATTTTGCAACAGAATTGAGTATAGTTCTATGGTATCTTTTCCAGTGCCCCAGGTGTGGTCAAATTTTTTGCTTTGATTGGCAAGTCTCTCAGTGGGTTGTAATTAGTCTCTTGGCAACGAAGATTAATATTGCTAAAATTACTTCAGACAGAGCGATGCCTGTGCGTATACTATGGATTTGATGACGATTTTTTAGCGTCACCTCCTGTCTTTCCTTCATTCTTCCCTCCATTTTCGCCGTGGTACTAAAAGCTGACCGGTGTTTTGTAGTAAGTCCATTTCGTACGTTAATCCTCTTTTTGCGGACGAAGTTGGCTAAAACACACCGAGCTGAAGTGTCAACCTACTAATGTTAGTCAGTTTTGAAGGACAAATGTGATTCGTCTAAATCTGCTTTGACCCTATCATTGGTCATTGTGCAAAACTGATGTTTACGGCGGAATTCAACACTGGTGTGGATTCAACATTCCTTCAGTCACCCTTTGTCGGGCCACTAAATCAGCAAAGGACAAGTCTTTTCCTCTTAGTTGCGGTTCTCTGCAGACCTTAGAGAGTTGGAAAGTTGTTTGGTTGCGTAGCAGCTAAATGTCATGAAACCGTAGTAGTTACCCAATTTCGTTGACAATGAAAAGACGGATAAAATAGTTCTGAAAGTCAAATGCATTTTTGCCAGTCCGATTCGAAAGTACGGTGACTTCTTAAGCGTTTATGGATATTTGTTGTAAATATAGAAGGAACTTGCAGATGATGTACCGTAGCGTGAGGGCTGGATGGACGGATGAATGGCGTTGATAAAAAGAATTAGCTTCGTAAGGTGCATGTTTCCTCCCCCAACCTAATTATTTATTTTTATTTCTCGAGATCCCTACCTAGTGTCTGACAGGATGCGCTTCAGTTCTGACAGTTCCGAAGGCATTCTTCTTTCCTGGTGTCTATTCCAGGTGTTGGGACTTCCTGTCGACTGGCTCAGTTGGAAATGTCAGGTGGATGTCCTCGTCCTGACAGTGCCTACTTCCTCTCTTTTCCTTAAGACAAATTTCAAGTGCTTGATTGTCTGCTGGCAATTATTCGAACCACTTTGAAGGATAGGATTGTGGTCATTTTGAACCACACTCAATTGCTGGATCTGTTTGGAGGTGAGCTTTCGTTTGCATTGATATTTGCATATTTGCTTTGTGAACGATGCAGTTTTTTATCCTTTTCTGTATCCTCAGAAAGTGATGAGTGTTTTTGGCTTGATTGAACAATATCCACTAAGTAGAGTACGGAGATAGTTGAAGAGCCAAACGATCCTAATGTACGTTTCCTATTTTTTATGCCTGGCTACAATTATTCTGTACCGTGCAGTTTATTTCCGGCAGTCATTTATTCTCTTATGTTATTTTATTTTTCGATTCGGTATTTCAATTCGTATTTTGATGAAAACGACACTTGTCCTTCTTAACTGTAGCCTGTTGTTTTGAAGTTGAGGTGACTGCTTGCTGCGTAGCTTTCCTGCATTGGGCCTGTGTGTCAGTGCTTCTGTCTTTATTCGACTGTTTCTCTTTTCTACTTAAAATGCTCTGCTATATTCGGAGTGTTAATCAGGCCCTTTGTGCAGTTTTCTTCATCTTTCAGATTTGTTCTATCCGCAGCTTATCGTTTATTGGGCAAGTAGGTCAGAGACTCCCGTTTTCCACGAGGTTTAACTCACCTAATGCCTATGTCTAGTCTTTCGTTTGAGAGTGATTGAAATCCTAGAGTTGTTCTTGTCCCATTTTTTTGCCTAACTGATGCCGAAGCTCGTTTCCCAATGAACGAATGAGAAATAATGCCTACGGTTCAGTTACTGTCGACCATTTTCCTTTGGCATTGGGCTTTTGGACTACATGATGCATTTTAATTTCCACGCAAAATCTACTATGCTTTGAATAAAGGGCGATTTGTAGGGGCCTCAAATCAGAGAGAGGCGTGGGGTCTCTTATTGTCGTAAGCTTGGCAAAGGTAAAGATCAGTCTCTCTACAGACCATTGGTAGAGTATTGGGGTTTTCACATTTCGCATTTGCCTCTCACCGTATAGTCAAGTAAGTTGATTCATCTTCACAAGAGAATTTTTGTGGTCGAAATTCTTAAAAAAAGTCGTCGATTCGTTGTGTAGTAATTTGGTACTTGGCTTAGCTGCGCGATGGCTTTAGTCCGTGCAAATAGTATTTCTGTTCTGCAGGATGACTTTCGTCTATGCCAATAGCCCAGTCCCTTTGTACATTTGTAAGTACCATATCCTTTGGTGCCACTTTGGTATATTACGACTCCTGGAAGCCATACATACAATTGTTTATCAGTGTTGGGCTATTCACCTCTTCCTTCTTCTTGAAGACCTTTCGCTTAGTATTCTTACTTCAAATTGTTTTTCTCCACTAATGCAAATATCTGCCTTCCAATTAGACAGGCGATGTTTCCAATCCCATCGTGGTTGCAAGTTTTCTCCGGTTGAAGACATCAGAACATCTATGTGTCTTACATTTAGCGGTGACTTTTGATTGCTTCCTATCACTTCATCATGGTCATTGTATGCTTGGTGCATGTCAATCCCACGGCAGTCATAATTTTGGTTTCTGCTTTGCCTTTTAATTTTTACGTGACCGCGATAGCATTGTTGAGGGGTAAACTGATCTACGTCTCCTTCTCTTTGGTCCTAATTGTCGTTAGTGGTGGAAGCTTTCCGCTTTTTAGCTTGATTTAGTGTCTACTGGAAGGTTATTAATCGCTGTTTACTATTATTGTTTTTAACAGCTTTTTACCATTTTGGAAGCAAAAAGGTGTTTTATTTTCATTTGGGAACCTATTGCCTATAGTTGGTTAGTAAAGGTCTTCGTAATAATTGGTAAAAAAATCTTGTTATCCATAGGGTGTGCAAGAAGTTTATGCAGTTTTCGGTACGGCTCGTTGTGAATTGTGAAGGGTTTTGCAGCATGAACTTGTGCCTTTCCATCGGTGCAATGACCTTTATTTGTTTGCCCCACTTTTTATATCCCAACTACTGTGATCCTAGTTTACCTGTTCAATGTGACGCATATAATTTGGGCCCATATTTTACGAAAACTTTTCGTCAAATTTATTGTATAACACTTGAAAATGCGGTACATGGTAGCCGTGGAACTTGTTACTCAGAATTATATGGTCTAACCCCTTTGGCCCAGCTGTCATTTCTCACATTGCGGCAAAGGAAATTGAAGACTAACTTTAACGAAATTTCGGTGCTCTTTTCATTAGAGCGTAATTCATCAGTATGTACGCGTTCTTATTTCTTTCCAGCTTCTAAAGTCTTAAATTCGGCAATCTTATTCCATATAGCCTCACATTCTCTTGTCCATTCTTTTTCATGCTGCGTCATGGGAAGAAACATCTCCCTTTTCATTCTTTGTCTTGAGTCTCTAAGTTTTTTTTTCTCTTAAGGAAAAAGGAATGATAAGTGGGTGCTATGCTCTTCAGTTTTAGTAGTTTTTCATTATCTTGTTCCCTAGACGAGCCCTTGATGTGTCATACTTTCTCTCATAGCGTTTCGTTTTCAAATTAGGGTACACCGACTCTACTTTACGTTTCCTTGATTTTTATTCTCACTTACAACCCCATTGTTAAGAGAGGATGAGGTCTTAGGTGTCAGCCAGAGTTACCGTATAATTCGCATTGTTGCTTCACAACTTCTATATCCATGCCGCAGTCGCTAGAGTTAGTGTTCATACTGGGCAGCAAGCAAGGCGGGTGGTTGTGGTAGGTGTTAGACCGAGTCTGTTTCATGTACGACGTGTGCTAGCTACTACTTCGTGCGGTACTGCTGCATCATGGTTCTTTTTATTGACTTAGCGCTAATGGCTCTGCTTGGATTTCATTGTTTTTCGCCTTTAATGAGGCTTCCCCAACGCGCGCTTGTTGTCTTGCCTCTGTAGGTTCAGAAGTTTGGGGTGCGTGAATGGGGTGCGAGCGCAGGTACCTCACCCGAAGTGGATTGTAATCACGAGTTGTCGATGTGGGATCACTAATACCACCGCAATGCGCTTGAAGACTATGTGCTGAAGGTGGTGAGCGATGCTAGAATGATCCATTTTATCTTCTGACATCGTTTCAATGGCGAACAGCGCAAGAGTGCCCAAATTTTTTATTCTTTCCATTTCTGCTCACTAGACCTCCCTTTCCAAGCTGTAATGGAGTCTCGAGAATTCTATGTGATCCCTCAAGGATTTTTATTTGCAAATTTTGATTTTGTACCCCTTTATTTGTGTTTCTGAGGAAATTGAAGAAGAGCGTAGGGATAATGGTCGATTCACTTGTCGATGGGAGTGGACGAGGCGTTTGACTTAATGCCTTCTGCTATGACTTTTTGGACAAGGCAGTGTTACCTGTGCTGTCAATGATTGTGTGTCGTTCTGGTGTGTAAGTAAGTAAAGAACTCATTTATTTTACCTTGAGAAGCCGTTTACATAACTTTCCAGAAAGATGGATCTGCTTGTGCTTCTTTAGTCCGAGACGTCGATCTGTGGTGACCGAGCACTCTGTTTTACTGGATGGAGTATTCGGGCTTCACAGATTGTGTTTCCACTCCGTGGCACAGTCCTCCAACCGTGCTTAGCGCCACCTAGGGCTTCCTCTGTAATGCGTTGATCGGTTGCTTGACTCTCGGTGTTGGTGAAGGGGGTCAGTTGGGTGTTCCGCCATTGTGCTTTCGCCACGTAGGAAGGCTACCGGGATATGGCAGTAGCCGCAGGCGATGCTGATGTCGAATATACAGATTCACCTATAGCACAGCCTTCTCTCATTTTTGGGGTGTTTCGCGTATAATCTGCTGTGACTCATTACAACGTCAGAAAAAACTTGAATTAGTGGATACTGGTAAAGGGAATTGCAGCAACAACAAAATGTTTTACATAAATTGAGCTCCCTTTTATTGCATACGGAAAATTTGGCAGGTGGTGTAATGCAATGGACGTTAGTTTAAAAGACGCATATAGCGGACGGTTAAAAGTGAAGTGATTTTCGATAAAAAGTAAAAAAAAAATTGAAACAGAAGTCGAGGCAATGTCTCCTTTACTAAGTGAACATATTAAGCGGTATTTTCTTTACTAATGTAATTCTTGTCTAACTTTGGTCGCCTTTACTAAGCATATCTCATCTGATCGCTTTTTGTCCCAATTTTGACGGTATTTTTAATAAACAATTTAGCCATTTTCCATCTGACTTTGGCCGCGATGTCTAAGTAAATCTCATTCCATCTATTTGATACACAAATTGATGCTGTATTTCCTTTACCACATTCCTCCTTTATTTATTTTTTTCTTGGATTTCCTCCCCATGCCACGTCATTTTATTTTCCCTTAATCTTCTTTTTCCCGTTTCTTTCCTTTCTTTCTTCCACATAAATTTGTCCTATACCACACCGCCTTACTTCCACCTCCTCCACTGATCTACCCTTCCAATTTCTTTTTTTTTGTATCCCTTGGTACTTCTAAACCCCCACGGCTGCGGTCACAGTGACAGTGACTCTCTGAGGTCAATCCAACTTAATCTTAGCTTACTCTTACTTTCACTACAGAAAAACATTTCCCTCATTTGCCCTAGCTTTACAACTACCTCAAGCAATCTTTGTCATGACTTCTCACTGGTGTGGTTCTAACAGCCTCACAGGTGTTCCAGTCGGAAGCATGATCAAGCTTATTTAGTACAAGGCAGGGTGGATATAGGAGTCTTGATCTACAAAACTCTGTGTAGGTTCAAAAAAGTAGAGGTAAGTAGGCTGCCCTTCTTCCTCGTAATCCCGTTCATTATTTACACTTGACCAAAAAACTTAATTCACGCATGCCTGACTCAATTCCAATTCTACTGAAGCGATTCACATGTTCCGACTACCTCATCACAGTCTGCCTAGTTTCAACAACTGACGGAAGTGAACTCATAATCTAATAACGTGTATTGGCAGGTTGACAAAATTTAGAACTTCGTACTTATTTCAGTGCCTTACATGAAAGAATGCCAGATGCAGATCCATCACACAACAACTGCTTAAGGAATGGTTTGCTTTCAGATCACGTGAGTGTCTTTCGACAGTGGAATAGGCCACGGTACCGATGACATTATTGCTGCAAGTTTTCACTGCGTATAAAGGAATATGAGTTCTCAGGCTAGTTCATTGAAGTAATTATTGTTGGACAAAGATAAATCAGGCAGACAACGTGATTAGGCGACTTTCAAATTGGACAGTACATGAAGTACCAACGCGTTAACATCACCTTGGAGTCAATCTAATTCCTCCTCCATGGCAAATATTATTTAAGCATAAACGTCTCTGTCACGCAGCCAATCTCTGCTAGCATCTCTCAACGATGTTGTGTTTCAACAGCTTCAACTTATTTCTCCTTATTTATCTTTGTTTTCCTTTAATCACTTGTCTACTAATTTCATTTTTCTTGTTTTTTTATTCGATTCCGATGTCACTTACAATGGCGTACTTTCGGCACAATTTAGGCACAAAGTGGTATATATCGTGAAATCACTGATCTTCCTGATGAGGTCAATCTTTGCATGGCTGTTCAAAATTGGCGGCGAATTTTTTCAACACGGCCTTTTCTCCAGTGCTATGTATCAACGCACCAACCAACGGACCTGGCTGGACAAGCACCTCCGCGAGCTCCTGTTCCCACAACCATCACCAACTTCATATCTAAATGGTTCTGATGCCATTCGATACTAGAGGAACCAAATGGACCTTTGACAACGCTTTGTATCCACACTTGATCGAGACCAAGAGCAAAGAACCCTTCACGTTTGTTTTTTACCGGACTTTAATGCAGAAACTTCACCATGTGCGCATGAAATACAGCGGCTGAAATACTACACGAGGCATTAGCTAACTTTCCTTCAACATACGAGGATTTAGTGTAGGCATAGATGTACCATGACTAGAGATTCTAGTGAAGAGAGCGTAAATTATAGTAACAGAAGAATCAAATTTACAGGAAGACTAAAAAAGCTGTATAGCCTAACTGGTGGATCCTTTTAGCTTCCTCTAGGAAGATCTGACAGTTGCTATTAAATCTCTTGCATCCGATCAGACATTGACTATTACAGTCATTATCAATGAGATGATAGGTAATTCGAGAGGGATGGTATATCTCCTGAAATCCCTTCGGAGCTTTAGTGGTTTCGGCAGCTCTTCGCTGGTGGCTGCACCACCACCAATGGTGCCTCACACACCATCAATGTGACCGTGTCGACTGCTCTAATTTGTTAAAATCGGCCTTTTACAGCGTAATCTCTGAAATAATTGACAATTCTCGAGTTGATCGCTTCATGCTGGCAGAAAAAAAGTGCTTTTCTCTCTTTACTTTCGATGTGTTCGGTTGGGTGATTTGGTTAAAAACTGTCCTAACCTAATCTTCTGGGCATTAAGTTGTGTGATAGACCTTTGGTTTATGTATATGAATACATGGTACAATGAGATCAGTTGTGTCTGAGTCACTGTTGGATTTCAAGCCGTCACGAGTTGGGATCGGTCCTTGAGTCACCAGGCCCTATACACATCCTATTTCCTCATTATTACCTTGTCACGCAGCCTTATCTGGTCACTCAGTCCTCTCGAGCGTACTCCTTAGCTGTCTTGAGCGGGGACACGGCCAACGCGAATATCTATCCGTGCCGCAGCTGTCCGGACCACAGGTCCGCTTTCTTTATTCCAAATGCTGCGCTACTCAAAGCAAAATTACTCGCTTTGGACTTCACATTGCAGGAAACTCAATGTTGCAGAATCTAAGGCTAACCTACAGCATGTTCCATGACTAATGAGGAGATTTCTTCCAAAAATCCGGACTTATCGAATTATCCCTTGTTCCGCTGTGTGGTTCGTTGCGATTACTTGGAAGAGTTGTGTAGGGCAACGAGGAAGAGCAAACGTGTGGAGTGTTAGAAATGATGCCCAATTTGACATTTTTTCCATCGTACATTCAGTTGCTCATTTTCAGGTTTAAAAAGATACCTAAAGCTTGAGGCACCTAAAACAAGTTGAACAATTTGGTATGACTTAATGATTTAATCATGCAGGTTCCACTGAAGTCAGAACAGCTCTGGCGATTTAGAATTTCCCATGGATTCTATCGCATCCCTTGTCTCTAAGGGAGAACTTCCTATCTCTCCCAACCGCTCTGCCCTACATCTCAGCACATCCATTGTGTCTACAATTGTCAATGTTTAATTAAACTATAGAGTTCTTAGGGATAGGGTTAGTTTATGTTGCAGAATGTGTGAGAATTTTATGGAAATACTGTGTACTCGAAGAAGCCAAACCGAGCGAGAACAAGTGGAATGAAGCTGAACAAGCTTAAGTGAACCCACCTCCTGATAAGCCACCCTGTGGCAGTTTGTACCTCGCATTATCAATTTCCTTATGGAAAACTTACCAAACAATCTCAATACACAGTCTATTAGTTGCATACCATTCTATTGTCCACTTGTGTCACTGACCATTTCGCACTTTTAGAAGCCCAGCGAAATTCTCTAGTCCCAGTACTGGTAAAGCATGTTATCCAAATGCTTGAGGGTAGTCTTGGATAAATTTTGAGGTAGTTACCATTAAAACATGCAAAGAGAGCTCTGTAATTCATCTGAAAATAACACCACCAAACTCAAGGCTTGTGCATCGTTCTTTGCATTGATGAATGAGGAAGAGGTTCAGGTGAATGGCAAGAAGTTTTTAGTAATGATTACTCTAAAGGTGATATTTAACAAGGTGTGAAGAAGATTTCATACGGATGTGTTTCAATTCACTTAACTTGGATAATGAACCGGAAGATAGCACGAGGGTGTTGATGGGTCAAACAACTTTACTTCTGTTGAATGGCAGCAGTGTGTAGAAAGCACAAAACGGCAGCCACACGGCTTAAAAGCATCACAGCCATCACCACTGAAATGTTTGCATTTCAATGGGTGGATAATAATTGAACGGTGATGCCACAACTCCCCCAAACTAGCACTACAGTAGGACTCTCCATAACAGTGACTAGGTGAGGTGAATCGAGTCCTTCAACTTAACGATCCTCTTTACACCTTGGTGCTCGCACTTAAGAAGTGTTAATTTGGGCATTCTAAACAAATTTTTCACCGCTACTGGTGCCACAAATTTAACTTTAGCCCCAGTTGTGGCATTCACAATGACGACGTTTCATGTAACATTCAAAAACTGTCAAGCAAGATGAATAAATCACGTAGAATATCTATAAACTAAATAAATTTGCCTTTATGGAGTAATGTTTCGTTTTGGTAATGGGCTACTCAGTAAATTAAGTAGTGAATGCAAAGCGGATTAATGCACTATTGATTTGTGGTATCAGCACATTTTCGCCAACTTTTATTCAGTTTATATTCCTGTTGCTAATATTTCATATTGTCTTGATGAAACATCTCGGGATTTGAAATCTCTTTAGAAGTTGTTAAAAATTCTACAGGATCATGAGATTAAAGCATATGCATTACTGACTACTTTTTCATATTTCAGCAACCATAACGGTGCATTAGGCATACGTGCAAGCAGTATTCACCTATTACTTTCATGAATAAATTCGCGTGTGCCAAAGGTGTACTTGCAGTGGAAAAGACTAAGAATAACTTCTTTATTTGTGGTGTTAACGTTTAATGAGAACTTCCGACACATGAATAGCCCCAGTTGTATCAGGATGAAATGAGATTCTACTACTAGTAGGCTATTCCAAGTTGTTTAGTACGCCGTCGTCATATGGTGGGGATCATTGTAGCACTGTAGAGTTGCTTAAATATGGATGGCAGGTGAACTTCGAATTGAATATCTCGATTCTCACTTGTTATGAGTTGAATTAGGTAATCGCTTCTTATGGCAAGCTGTGCATTTTGCATTTGTTTGGCAAATGATAACTACTTTAATTTGAAAAGCTAAAAACTATGAACCTTAAGAGCGGTGTGTGAATGATAAGTGGTCATAAGAGCATAATTTGCGTGTGAAATCTACCGTAAGCCCTCAAACTTGGTTTGACAGCCGCCATATGCCCCTTCAGTTTTACTTCAAACAATGATCTTGGCAGTAATTTGAGGAACAAATGGGTTGTTTTTACTATCACAGATTATTTTACGGGGATGCCCGCTGACCTTCCTATTTTGGTGCGTTTAACTCGATTTGCTGAGCCCAAAGTGTTTGTCAAAACAATATACAAAGTTGGAGTTTCAAGGGGTAGGAAAGGCGTTTACATGAATTGAAAGAATAAAGTTGTGGTAAATGAATGAAGACGTCCGAGATGAATTGATGATTATATTGAGGCATCCATAATAGTAGGTGTGAGCAACAGGAGCAGAGGTGATAAAATAACTAGAAGACAAATAAATGAATGTGATCGACGGACGGATGAATACGGATGGATCTGGTGGGTGGATTTGATGCGGACTGGACTACCACTAGTGCTACCTTCGACTAAAATGGCGGAGTTTTCTTGTGTTGCCCCGTTTATTATTAAACGCGGAATGAGGATTCTCGCCTTAATGGGGAATGCCATAACTGCTGGTAAAGAAAGCTTCTATTTCTCCAGATTTTCTTGAGTAGGTGCATCACTCTTTCTTCGTGTTCATTTAATGACCAAACCACGGTGTTTTATTAATGCTGCACTTATACACGACTTTACTCCGTATTAAAGTTCGTCAAAATTCTAACGGAATTTACCAGAATAAATAATTTAAACTCCTGCATAGATGCTTTCCTTTCCTTCTTCAGCAAGCCACATATTATTTAATTTCGAGTTCACTTCTATAAGACGGTACAATATAAGTAAACTGACTAAGGTGTTGGAACAGGCAAATCTGTTCAGTAGAATACACCACACTGCAGAGGTTTAGAATCACGCTTTATAAGAGTGGCTTGATGGTGTTTTTTGGGCCAAAGCAAATCAGCACGGCGACTAAAGAGGGCAACCTGCCTTACTAACTTCCCGGCATTCAAATCTGCACAGTTTATTTATTAATAAGATCTTCGAAAATACTTTGAGATGGATTGAATAAGATATTTGGTTCATCGGAATCAAACATCTTTGAGGGTATTGGAACCACATCAATGGCACCTAGTGACGAGGATTGCTTGAGTTCGGGGTAAAATTAACTAAAGTCAGTCTAGGAAACCGTGATTTGTAATGATTGGTTGAAAAGCAGATTTAATTCATTTGACCTTGTCCAGGTCATATCGTGCCTGTTAGTGTTACCAGTTTGATCATCGACACGGCATCTCGGTCACATTATCACTTTTACGCCAAGGTCTAGGGATAGAACGATAGTAACTGGAGTGACTTTTTTGTGATTTTGCAGCGAATGCTTGACTTCAAATGCGACAGACATTTCGATGTGCTCTGATAGTTTTACCATTTGTCCTTACATTACAATTCCACAATTAATTCACGCATACTTTGTCGGAATCAAAAATTTGCTACTTTAATACTGTACTGACAATAATCTTTTTCGTAAGACCATGCTACTCATTAGTTTGTGATAAGAAGCTACATTTTTTCCAGATGAAGCTCATTAAATTAACCTGGCGTTTGACTAATGCAGTTTATTGGGGTATTGAAATCAAACATTTGTGAGGGTTTACCTCGCCGATGTGGAATGGATTGCAGCTACGCCACTGACACGACATGATGAAGAATGTGTGAGGTCTGTTAACTCCTCCCTCAGCGAGGCGGATCAGGCAACCACACCCGAGATGTGGGTGCCTTGGTCAATTTCAAATGAGTTATTAAGGCCAGTTGATGGCATTAAAACGATTTGGTACCAATCATCGTGCACAAAGATGGAAACGTGAAAAGCGATATGCTGCAGGTTCTGCTTCTAAATTGGCTAAGTAAAGAGACTGAAAGAGATGGCAGTAAATGAAACCAAAATACGGGTAGAAAACCTCGAGGATGAAAGTTAGTTCTCCCCATTTTATGCCACTTGTGAGTGAGACAACTGGTGAAGATGAATTGGGCTGCAATGACCTGACTCACATCAGTTGTTCAATTATTTCTAGAGCCATCTCTGAAGCAGAGTTTACCATTTTTGGCATAATCGCCTTTCAAACATATTTGAGTGATGATTTCATTCAATAGGAATCACAGATACCTCTCTAGTCTAACCACAAACAGGTGGTCTCCATGGCAGCATTTCATTATTTGGACCAGGACTTCTGTGCTATTAGATTATGGGTCGTAAGTTTAACTGTTACATACAGAACTTCTTTGATTTTCGCACTACCAATTTGCCTTAGAAACGAGGTAAATTCATTTCGTAAGGCATAGGGACTTAAAATTTCTTCCACAAGAGTCAGAAAGTAGTGGGTCCAGCGGCACTGCTTCATCAAGAATAATATTGATAAGCATGGGTTAGAGGCAATTTTATGGATGACCTATGAAAACGCGAATAAGGTCAGAACCGTCTACCTTGCCATGGCCGATACAATTCGATTTTCTTCTGGCAAGGCATTACTAGCATTTTACAGAATGCAAGAGTCACAGCTCTTAAAAATTTTAGGAACAGTCGCCGCCTCAGAAACCGAAAGCAAGCTGTATTTGGATTGGCACTTGACTTTCTTGAAGGCCTACTATCTGCCAATACTGGTATCAGAGCCTACCTTCTCCCTTAGTAGTATATGCTATTACGTCCAGTTCAAAAGTCAGTTGTACATTTTTAACTTATCTACGGATTTAAAGGGCAAGTTAAGTCCATACGGCAGTAAGATTAAGATTCCAGAAACATGTGAAGGCCTTAACTGATTTTAGTGGAAATAGATTTTCTCCAGCCTGTGATGTTAACCTCTTCTTTCAGTACCAAATAACTTTGAAAATCACGGGTTCTCACAGCTACTGACTCAACTCCAACTCTCTTAAAATAGGTGTGTGCAGCAAACAAACATCTCGATCGTATCCACAAAACCAATGGAGACTCGAACTTGGATGTCCTGTCAAAAGAGCCAATCCGGTGTTTGGTTAACAGGTGGATTTTGTCCACCAGGGATGATTAAATACATTCTTTAAAAACATTCCTCACCTCAAATTCTTTTTTAAATTGGGTAAAGAGAACTCAAAACAGGTAAGTAAGGCAAAAAATAGAGATAGCGAAATATCTATAAGACGGATGACAAAAAATTTACAATTGCTGAAGTTTGGGTTACTTGTTGCGACTATAAAATACTACTCCTTAACCAACACAAATGGAGGAGCCGAAAGTACCCCAACCGATGTTTTGTCAACAGCCAAATAGTTAAACCGAAATGAGGTGCAACTATAGTGCGATCTAATGGTTTAGACCCATTTGTTATGGGAAAGCAGGAGCGTTGAATTTTTTAAAGTCAGATTTGTTCACAGTTGTACTGATTGCAAATAAATTCTAAAAGGCGCCGAAAATGTTATACTTATTAAGTTCTTGTTACCAAAGAATTTAATTGACTTTAGGCTAAAAACACATAGACGGTCAGTAATGACTTCATTTGGACTGTTATTTTAAACGCCTCGAAGGAGGAGGAATGTGAAACAGAAATGCGCTCTTGTCCATTTCCAACCAAACATATTTTTAATTTCGCGGTAAAAAAGACTAGGTAGGCTAAAGCTGTCGATTCTACACCGTCATCGGTATATCCGAAGACGATAAAATAGAGAGCCATCCTGATGAACACTTCATCCTGAACGATAGGCACGTTTGTAAGAAGGACTTGACCCATTTTTGACCTCTAGGTACGGAGCTAAATGATTGGCAAGTCCAAGCAGCATAGTACTACTCTGCACTTTAAGTAGTATATTCGCTAGAGTAAATAGGTGCTATTCAAGTTCCGAGAATAGCCTGCTTTTTTAAAAATAAAAGAATTTACTAGAATATAATTTGAAAAATGTGATTTATAAACAATAATTGCCGGGGTTTTCATTACCCGATGTGTTTTTATCGATGCGGATTCGTTACAACTTGTGCCGCCTAGATTAGATCTTTGTTGTTACAAACTGTGAAGGATTTGTTTTTTCTAACAGCGTCGTTTTGTATATCGACACAGCAAATGGAATATCGAAATTGAAGCAATTTGCGCGGTACTCAATTATGCTACCTCTTGTGCCGAGGCATTATATTTTCTTGGCACAAAGAACTCATTTTATAGTGCCACGACAACACATCAGCTGCCTCATTCCTTCCCTTTATTTTTAAGTAAATTATCCAATTAAAAGGAACTGGAAGGCATGGAAAGCCTCTGATTGAGCAACTGTTGTTGCATATAACTGGTTTCCTGAACCTGTAGGGAAGAATATACCCCTGTCCTACAGTCACGCAGGTCTATCAATTTAGGATAGAATCCTGCGACAAAGTTCTTTACCATTAGCTGAAAGATTCTCAGCATCACGTCTTTAAACCACCGATTGTCTGTTGGAAGAAGGAAACTACATTTTGCTAATGCAAACTGTGTGAAACACCTTCTCTGTTTCGATCTCATTGTGTTGCACTGGTAGCAGCAACATGGAACAGACGTTGGGCCACAGCACCTTTACAGAAGAAGGGCATCAGCTATGAGCTACCGAATCTACCAGGTGTCTTTGCAGAAGCTCCACTGAAGTCATGGCAACTTTTGCCGAAGACCAACTCTCGATTTCTGAGTAACGACCAGAAATAAATTTGGATCAACGTTTAGTGATAAGTTATTTTCCGGCAAATAAAAGCACAACACATTTGCAGAACGATGAGGGAATTACGAGTTTGACACTATCTTAGATAGTTGGCTGGATCACGATGATTCGGCAATTATGTGGAACGGAACAATTAAATTAGGTCGTAGTTTTAAGAAAAATTTTGTCATACATATACCTTTCTGCATAAGCAAATGATTCCCCTAACGGTGACTAACAGGTGAAATGCAACATGCTTCCCTTCAATGCGAAACCGTAACTGTATTAGATTACATAGAAGGCATCATTATCATTTGACATTTAAATTTTCTGAAATATCTCTCTTGGGTATGCTGCAATGCTTGTCATTCACTTCGACTACTTGCCACTGCGCCTTATGTGATTGGCATAGCTGAGAATACAAGAACAAGCGTTACAGTCAAATGGCGAAGACATCCAACCAAATGTGACTCAGAGGCTTGCAATGAGAGAATGTATTCCCACACAGCAAGTACCACACTTTGTTTTCAAGGCGCCTCCGTCACACCCAAATTGAGTGGAGCCACTCAAAGGCTGATGAAAAGTAGGAGCGGGTACCAGAACAGTCGGTAGGAGGTAAGCCTTTCGATTCCTTACGTCAGCAGTCATCGTATTCAAACGTCAGTGTAGTTGGTTTAAGGGGGCAAATTGGAGCCCATAGAAGGGACTACCCTAAATTTACAAGTCACTGCTGTATTTCTGAAGGAATAAAAGCAACAGGAAATTATGAAATCAAAAACAAAATTGAATTTGTGATGGAGAGCACGGAAATGTAAAGATCAAAATAAACAGGTTTGTATCAAATGCGAGGTCACTGAACTTAAAATTCCGATTATTTTCATGTGATTATTTAAACCTGATCCATGCCGAATTGATACTCGTTTTGCACTTCGGTGGCTACACACAGAGGCATCCACTGAAGCCTCCATGCAAATGCTTTGCTATTCATTTGCTCATCCACATTCACCTTAATGCACTCCAGTCATTCATTCTTTCATTCATAACCCGGTTTTAGACTACAATGATTCCGACGAGCACCCCACTAGTTACTTCACTTCATACAAATATGTATGAGCATCTCAGGATGTTCAACAGTGTGCCTTGTCGCAACATTATAGTGTGGCTCAATCCATTTTAAACGATCTTCTCACTACCTTCAAGCGATCCTTTCAAAATACGTGGTTTGAGCTATTCCGGTATTCGCTTGTCATAGTTTCACAATTCACGGACAAGTGGCGAATGGGTCACCAACTGGGGTCTCTCGCCCACATTGCTCGTCTCATTACTGTTAAAGAGAGGTTTTGGGGTGTCCACATCAAGGCTGGCTAATTGGGTGTCCACACTATACTGACCCATCTTGGAGGTGCCACCGCCATCTTTCATTGGCGCTATGAAGAATTTGTGTCCAATCCGTAATTATGCGCAAATTTTTCGCCATTCAGTTTTTTATTATGTTATTACCCGTAGCAAAGGTGATGTGTGTGTTCCTAAACAAAAGTAGTTGCGAAAGTAATAGGCCCAGAGGAAATCCGCATAATTCTTTGTGTTATACAAAATGAAAGTCTTCTTTTTTGTGTAAAAGTAGTGCGTTAAGTTTGTTTACTTGTAATAATACAACATTTAGAGGAAAACAGAAAACTCAGGAATTTCAACTGCGACCCCGTATATGGGCATGTCGACGCCATTGGAAAACCCGAGAGACTTCTCTGGCTTCAACACACATCCACCCAGCTAGTAATGATATTTGACGCCAGTGATGCAGTTTTCTGCCAGCTTTGTATCAACTGTCCATGCGACTGTTGCTACCACTTTAGGTTTTAACGCTTGAATTCCACGATAAGCACTTTATTAACGTAAAGGTAAATTAAAGGACTTCACTTTTGCAAGTCCACTATTTCCGCATTGCAATTTAAACTTTGAAGAACTGCCATTCCTGAATACACTAACAATGCTTTTCCACTGGATTTCATCCAGCTGCCTGCTTATGGCCATGCTTCTTGACTGCAGCCACGAGTACTTAACCTACGTCGTTCCCTTGAATAATGTCATTTAGTCATGAGGAGAACCAATTTATAAACACAAATGTTAATGCACGCCTACAGTACGCTACCCGACTCTTAACTACTGTGGTAAACCAACT